AATAGAGGAGAGAGGAATAGAATAGAATAAGAGAAGAGAAAAGAGGAAGAGAGGAATGGAATAGAATAAGAAGAGGAAGAAAAGAGGAATGGAATGGAATAAGAGAAGAGGAATAGCACAGAGAAGAGAGAAATAGAATAAGGAGAGAAATAGAAGAGAAGAATAGAATAGAGAAGAGAAGAGAAAAGGATTGGAATAGAATAGAATAACAGAAAAGAGGAATAGAAGAGAAGAGGAATACAAGAGAACAGAGCAATAGAATAGAATAAGAGAGGAAGAGAAGAGGAATAGAATAGGAATAGAATGAACTGAGTTGGAAGGGACCTTAGAGGTCTTCTACTCCAAACCCCTGCTTAGGCAAGAAATCCTACACCACTTCAATAGGGAGATCCTCCTTCGGATACTCAGAGAATTGTAGAGTTGGAAAAAAAAAACCAATGTGCACCGTCTGGTCTTACACAAACCCGGCAATTTTTAAGATGGGCGGAACTTCTAACACGCAGAACTGCCCATCGTGGCTTGTCCCTTTCGGAAAACCCCGTTGAAGAATGACCTGCTTTGCTGGCAGCCGATGTAAAATTCCACCGAGCGTTTGAGAAGTGGTTAATTTGACTGTTGAGGGGAGTTAAGAGGTAGCCCTCGGCTTACAACAAGTTCGTTGAGTCACCAAAGTTACAATGGCACTAGAAAAAAAGTGACTTACGACTCTTTTTCACACTTAATGACCGTTGCAGCATCCCCGTGATCACGCAGTCAGAGTTGGGACCCTTGATCATTGACTCGTATTTATGACAGTCACAATGTTCTGGGGTCATTGGATTGTCCCTTTTGCGACTTTCTGGCAAGCAATAGGGAAGTCAGATATTCACTTTTACAACCCTGTTATTAACTTAATTTCAGGGATTCCCTTGGCAACTGTGGCAAGGAAGGTCGTAAAACAGAACAAAACTCACTTAACAGCACTCTCGCTTAGCAGCAGAAATTTTGGGGTCAATTGCGGTCATAACGAAGTTGTAAAATCGTTTTGCAGCCAGAGAATTTCAGTTTTGAAAATCGACAATCGGACTGGCCACGTGGGTGATGTCATTTATAACCATCGCAACTTTTAACACCGCAATATTCAGGCTGCATTATTGTTGTAAGTCAAGGACTACCTGGATTTACCACAGTCTAAAAAGTGTCAGGACGCGGTATCTCAGTGGCTAAGACGCTGAGCTTATCGATCAGAAAAGTCGGCAGTTCGGCGGTTCAAATCCCCAGCGCTGCATGACGGAGTGAGCTCCTGTTACTTGTCCCAGCTGCTGCCAACCTGACAGTTCGAAAGCAGGTAAAAAAGGCAATAGAAAAATAGGGACCCCTTTGGTGGGAAGGGAACAGCATTCCTCCGTGCGCCTTCAAAGGCGTTTAGTCCTGCCGGCCACATGACCACGGAGACGTCTTCGGACAGCGCTGGCTTTTCTTCAGCTTTGGAATGGAGCAGCGCCCCCTAGAGTCGGAAACAACTGGGCCCGTATGTGCGAGGGGAACTTTTACCTTTAAAAAGTATCAGGCTATTCAAACCTCTTTTAGGGTCTCTGTTTCCCCAAATAATATTGTTGTCTTTGCCTTTCAGATCCGGAATGTCCGTTGGAAGTCCAGCTTATAGTGTATTTATAGACCAGGAAAAACAAAACAAAACCCTACAGACTCTTTAATATTCATAATTGGTGCTTCAGAAAAAAATACTGTACAGGATTTTATCATTGAAAAAAGTCCCACTTTTTTTTTCTCCTTTTCTTTTCCTTTTTTAGTTTTTACCTTGAGTCTTTCTTTTTTTCTAAAAAAACAAAAACAAAAAAGAACACACAATTCTCCGCGATTCCCCGAACGTGACGAAAGGATGGGACACGTTCCACAGCTGCTGAACATTTGCAAACCTCCCGATGATCATCCGTGTCACCAGGAGAAATAAGCGCCCTGGATCCGAACATCTCAAAATGCTGCTGCTGCTGCTTTTCCTTCGTTCCACCACTCAGGTTGAATGTGTTTTATCTATGTCCACGTGATGTTTTGCCGGGGCAAGGGAAACTTCCCGAATTTAAAGCAAGCTGCAACGGATAAGCAACTATTTAATTTAATTATTTAAAACATTTCACAGGCAACTTGGATGTTTGCGAGAGAGAGAGAGAGAGAGAGAGAGAGAAAGAGCAAGAGAGAGAAAGAAAAGAGAGAGCGCCTCGGTTTTTTATTTTTCCCTTCCCATGTCTGCTACTAGAAACGCCACGTCATATTTTTTGTTTTTCCTTCCGTTGGGATTTCTGTCTTTGGACTCCTTGTGAAGCGCATGCTGTTTGGACGCTTGGCCTTTGGTTGGTTTTATTTTTATAATTTTATTTTATTTTTGAATGTATCGCGGGACATGGTCCGAAGACCACACACGTCAACTGTCCGGCCTGTCCTTAATGGCTCGACCTGAAATCTCTTTTTCCGAGACCGACAATGGGCCATTGCAGAGGGTTTGAGTCAGCCCCGTGCTTCCACCCCACCCCACTCGAAATGTCTCCTTCCGTGGGTGTTTTTCTTCACCCAGCCTTTTGCAGGATATGCCTTTTGCAGCCGTCGCCTGCGACGTCCATTTTGTAGGCCTCTCGAAGCGACTCCTTTCGTATTTCTGGCCCTTCCTTCCGTGTCTGCTTTTATTCCTATTCTCTGCCTGGCCCTTGGGCATCTCTTTGTCTCTCCCGCAGAGTTACTTCATTGCTCAGGTTTGTCCTGCCATATCTGGACTTCTAGCCTGCGCCAGAAGTAAGCGAGGAGAGCAGGCGCCGTGGATCTCTTAAGTTATCCACCTGGAGAGGAGCCGTTTTTAATTTTTATTTTATGATTAAAATCCACTTTAAGTTTTTTAATTGCGTTAATTTTTAATGTAGCAATGTACGTCCGTCCTGACCAATCTCAGCCGCCTGGTCCTTGTTTCCTTCCAAGTTTCTAGTTACAGACAACGTTCATACTGTGATTTATTTCTTTTTCTTTTCTTTTTTTTTTCTTTTTAATTTTTATTATTATTTTTTTAAAATGATGAAACGCTATCAAACTGTGATACACTTAATTCACTGGTCCTGCATCAGGAGACAAAAGAGTGGGGAAAAAACTGTATTAAATACAGTTCATCTGAATAATCTTGTCTGATTTATACAAAAGCCGTGTTGTTCAGAGATGTCTATAAAAGTTTGATCTTTGTTTTTTTAAAGATAAAAAAAAGCACTTACCCCACTTGTAAATAATATGGCATGTAAAATTTATATAGTATATAAATCCGAGAAATGAAATCAAACATGTTTCTGTGGTTAGTTCAGTTACATCTGGCTGTAGCTGATGGGTATAAACTACAGGTGGTCCTCGACTTACGACCACAGGAGCTCAGAGTTTGCTAAGTGAGGAATGTGTTAAAAGTGACTTTTCTTGCCACCGTTGCTAAGTGAATCCCTGCAGCTGTTAAATTAGTCACCCGGTTGTTAAGTGAATCTGGCCTCCCCAGTTGACTTTGCTAGTCAGAAGGGTCGCAAAAGATCCTGAGACACGGTCACCGTCATAAAGGTGAATCAATTGTCAAGCCTCCGAATGTAAGTCACATAACCACGGGGTGCTGCAACAGTCATAAGTATGAAGAATGGTCATAAGTCACTTTTTTTCAGTGATTGTAACTTTGAAGGATCACTAAATGAGCCGTTGTAAGTCGAGAACTATCTGTGTTTCAGGATGGCGACGTGTGTCTGACCAGCTTTTGTTTGGGGTTGCAGTTACCGGGATGATCTCAATTACTTTCTCTTTATTAGTATGGTAGTATTTAAGCAGAAATATTACAGGTAATACAAGAGTTACGACCACAATAGAAACCAGAATTTTGGTTGCTAGACAAGGCGGTTTTTAACTTGAGGCAAATTTTACGCAGTTGTTAAGTGGATCATGTGTATGTTAAGCAATCCCTGCTTTCCACATTGAGAAGTTTCAATTGGCAATCACATGACCCTAAGATGCTACAACCTACCTTCCTTCTCTCCCTCCCCTTCCTTCCTCATTCCCTTCTCCCTCCCTCCTTCCTTCTTCCCTTCCTCTCTCCCTCCCTCCCTCCCTCTCTTCCTTCCTCCTTCCCTTCTCCCTCCCTTCATCTCTTCCTCCTTCCCTTCCTTCTTTCCTCCCCTCCCTCCCTTACTCATTCCCTCCCTCTCTCCCTCCCTTTCCTTCCTTCTTTTCTTCCTCCTTCCCTCCCTCCCTCTCTTCCTTCCTCCTTCCCTTCTCCCTCCCTTCATCTCTTCCTCCTTCCCTTCTTTCCTCCTCTCCCTCCCTTACTCATTCCCTCCCTCTCTCCATCCCTCCCTCCCTTTCCTTTCTTCCTTTTCTTTCTTTCCTCCTTCCCTTCATCTTTCCCTTCTCCCTCCTTTCTTCCTCCTTCCCTTCTCCCTCCCTTCATCTCTCCCTCCTTCCCTTCCTTCTTTCCTCCTCTCCCTCTCTCCCTTACTCATTCCCTCCCTCTCTCCATCCCTCCCTCCCTTTCCTTTCTTCCTTCTTTCCTTGGTCAGCCTGCTAAAAATACATCAAATTGGGGCTTAAGTCAATCCTAACATGCTGGTTGCCAGTTGCCCAAAATTTAAATCAAATGACTGGGGACTCCACCGCGGACGTTAAGTACGTGGACCAGTCACAAACTCCCTTTTTTCCAGTGTCCTTCTAACTTCGAACGGACGCTAAACGAATGATGGTAACTCAAGGACAGCCTGTACGTTTTCCTCAAAGTCTGACCGCCTTCCTCGAATTGACTTTCATGTTGAGATCTCAGCCGTGGCTCCGTCGCCTAAATGGGAGTTTAAAACAGTCATATGATAGATAGATATGGAATTATATTGTGCACTTTATTGATAACCAGGCACTCGGGTCAATACACAGATGTACACTATATACAACAAGCTACTTTACATTTAGTGGTTAAGAAACATTGTACAAGAAAATAGAACCGGGGGAAGTTAACAGACTTCATTTGCAATACCTGGCTGGGAAAAACAAAATGCCTGCACAGATTGGAAAAAGGCTGGTAATACGCTTGCTACTGCTAGATAGTACGATTGGTTGACAAAAAAAAAAAACCACAATAGGCTAGGATTACACCCTAAGCACGTGAAGCCAACATTTTCAGGTAGTTTTAGAACAGTGTTCCTCAACCATAGCAACTTTTAAAGACTTGTGGACTTCATTTCCCAGAATTCCTCAGCCAGCCAGCCATGCTGGCTAGGGAATTCTGGGAGTTAAAAGTCCACACCTCACAAAGTTGCCATTGGCTCAGCATAATGGCCTCAGATAATATCCTTTTCAATCATAGCCTCATTTTCAGTGGGCCACTTAAAAATCCAGCAGAGTTGCGGCACCGAGGAGGGCCCTCGATTCGTGAACAATGGCTAGTTGGGAGCCAGCATTAAGCCTTCATCTGTCTTGTCAAGCTATTGTTTCCAGCAAGCATACCTAGAAATACAGGCCCGACCTTTGCAAAAATATATGGCTGCTTTTTTTCCCTCTCTCTCCAAAAGTATGAAGTCTTCCAAATACTCCTAAGCTTAAAAAGTTTTTTTTTTTTTAAATGTACCACAAGCGGTGGTGACCCACCCCCAAAAAATCTTCAAACGAACTTCCCAGCCCAAACTCCCTGTTAAATTTCGCACCTGTCAGGCCAGCTGAACCTAAAGTGCTATTGAATTCTCCAAAAAAATCCCTTGAAGACCCAAAAAAATATCCCTCCAAACTATAACATTCCCACCGTTGGAAGGATAACGGACGCAAGGCAACCGAGGCAGAATAGCGGCTCTCCTGACCACTAGAGGGCAGCAGGCAACCGGTCAGCGGCAATGGTCATTCCAAGTTTTCTAAGCCACAAAGATGTCGGCCAGGATAAATGGCATTTTGCTTATCTTCTCGGTGAGGGGAGAGGGGAGATGAAACCAGGAATATCAATAACTTTTAAATCCGTGTTTCTCAACCTGGGCATTTTTTAAGATGTGTGGACTCCAACTCCCAGAATTCCCTAGCCAGCACCTAACCAATTCCCAGAATTCTCCATGCAAGGCTGAGGCATTCTGGGAGTTGAAGTCCACACATCTTTAAAAAAAAAAAAAGATGTCCAGTTTTAGAAACAAGTCATTTAAATCAGGGGTCTCCAACCTTGGCAACTTTAAGCCTGGTGGACTTCCAACTCTCAAAAGGTCCCCAGCCAGCTTTGCTTTGCCGGCTGGGGAATTCTGGGAGTTGAAGTCCACAAGTCTTAAAAGTTGCCAAGGTTGGAGACCCCTGGTTTAAATGAATGCTTTAGCTTCATCCTCCCCTTAAAATCCAGGACAAACAATAGAAGCATTCCATCTCAATCCTTCCAGGAATCTTTGGAGATAACAGAATCCGCGAAGGATGGGGCTGGCATCATAGGGTCTCAAAGCTTATCCCCAATTTAATAAGAACAACCGAAAAGCAAGAGGTTCTTGGGCAAGTTCTTACAATATGACAGTTGGGGAAGTAAGTTGGGGAAAGTTGGAGAAGTAAGGAGGATCAGCACCAGAAAAGATAATTCATGGGCATTCAATGTGTGTGTACACTTATGCAACCCATTCCTGCCCTCCCGCAATTGCGCAGGACGGGACAGGTGCATTTTTAATGATCCACCCCTGCAGATATATCTCCCATTACAGTATTAGCTGATATCCAAGGATGTATGGTCTCTGTGCAATCGGTAGGAGAAAACCAAGTTTTAACAGGATAACAGAGTTGGAAGAGACCTTGGAGGTCTTCTAGTCCAACTCCTTTCCAGAGCAGGAGACTTTATTATACCATTTTAGACAAATGTCTGTCCAATCTCTTTAAAAGCCTCCAGTGATGGAGCCCCCACACCTCCTGCAGGCAAGCTATTCCATTAACTCTTCTCACCTTTAGAAAATTTATCCTTAGTTCTAGGTTGGTTCTTTCCTTGATTAGTTTCCATCTACCGCAAAGATCTTCAAACTTGGCAAGTTTAAGACTTGTGGACTTCAACTCCCAGAATTCCTGAGCTAACATGACTGGAGGAGGAATTCCGGGAGTTGAAGTCCACAAGCCTTAAAGCTGTCAAGTTTGAAGACCCCTGATCTTCTGCTTCTTGTCTTCCCTTCTGGTATTTTGGAAAATTAAGTTGACTCCCTCTTCTTTGTGGCAGCCCCTTAAATACTGGAATGCTGCTATCATGTCACCCCTAGTCCTTCTTATCACTAGGCTAGACATCCCCCATTCCTGCCACCATTCTTCATCCTACACTTCACCCTCCAGTCCCTTAATCATCTTCATTGCTCTTCTCTGCACTCTTTCTAGAGTCGTTTGGAAACACACCCTGGTTGCAAAGCACAAAGAAGAGTGAAAGGAGATTTTGGTATCATCATAAGGGTAGTACCTTGAGGAGCCAAAAACTTTCAGAGGCCTTTCTTCTAAACTAAAATTAAATTACTAAACTAAAAGCTAAGCCTAAACCTTTTCTAATTTCGTTACTGGCCTTGTCACCATTGAAAAGTTTTGGCCCAATTTGGATCCCTGTTCTTGATGTCATCAGGTTGGTGACCACCAACGCTATTATTTTGATCTCACTGTTGTTGTCAGCCGCGGATGGCTCTCCTGAGAAAATACTGTCAGATACCAACATTTTTAAATCATCCATATGCCCAGCAATAACACTAGGAAGTTTACATATTTTCCTTTTGGCCAACTGAGGATTTCCAATCCGTTGGATTAAAAAAATGGCAAAACTTCTTGTTTTTCTTGAAGGAAACCCTCAATTTTATGTCTTCTAAACAGAGGGCTGGATAAATGGACCTAACCCTTTGAGATTAAAACCCTCATCGTTTCAGATAGTCTTGACCAAAACGGAGAAACCATTTTTCACTTGTGGCTTTATGCTCCATCACAACAGCTATGGTTTCTCGATCTCCACAACGCAGGTTCTTCCTCTCTTGTGGACATGTGTACAAGGGGCACAACTTCCACAGCAACAGCCTGTGTCATTTAAGGTGTCATTTTCCCCCTCACCTGCCAGCAAACAAGCTGCCTTTATTTATTTATTTTTTGAGCAAGGATCGGCGATCCCTTCGATCCAGTTTTCTGGAAGCGGAACGAGAATCTCTTGGAGAAGACAACGTGGAGGACTGTGCTAAAAACCCAAGAGAAACAAACTGCGGGGGGAATACCAGTTGGGGGGAGAAAAGCAACTCCCTGGAAAGCTTTTTCAAGCAGGGCCGTCTAGTAGAAGAGGGAGATATATGAACACACACCAGCCACATCGGTGGGGGTTCAACGTTACGGACAATAGTTTGGATGTAAGGTGTAGGAACAAGACTCTTAAAAGACACAGAGGAGGACAGGACACCGACGAATCGCAGTCCCCAACAAGTAAAGACGAACAGGAGATGCTTGTGGTTCCACCACACTCCCAAAAGGGACAGTAAAGACACAAGCTTTGTTGGGATGCGTCAGGTTTCCTCTGCACCGGACACAGGGATGATGAGAGTCCGTCCTCAAGAGTTACTTCTTGTTAGCAATCCGTCTCTTCCGAGTGGCCAGCATGTCATAAAAAGGATCCTTGCTGATGCTTGCCCTGAATGAAAGAAAATAATTATAATAAATCATTAGGCTAGGTTTGCACTCTTAACACCCGTGGTTTTCAACCTCGGCAGTTTTAAAATGTGTGGACTGGGGGGATTCTGGAAGTCCACCATCCTATAATTGCCAAGGTTGAAAAATTCTGCCTGGACCCATAACAAACTAAAGGACTATTCTGACCCAAGCCTTGTTCAAATTAAACAAACACAAACTGTGTATAAAAGCAAACCTTTTTTAATGCGGCACTGGGAATTCTTTGCATTCCCAGCCAAGAGTGATTTAAACCTAATTATCTGAGATAAAAGCAAGCCCTTTCAAGGTTGTAAAAGGCTGCCAAGAACAGAAGTCTAATTACTGATAAATATCCACCAACAGAAGTTTCAAAAACAAACCAGAGTTAGCAGAGCTTCAATGAAGATTCGGAGTCTAAAGAACTTCATTGCTTCCTGCAAAGAACACATCCCCGAGGGCTGGTTTTTATGCCGGCGAACCACAACAAGGACAAGCCACTGCTTCTATATGGACCTTGGGCAATTACTTTCCACTTTGTTTCTCAAACGCTAAGTACTTTTGGCTAAAATACACTCCCTTCCCAAGTGTCTGTTGGAAAGGTTGTAAGTTGAGGATTAACTGCAATTAGTCCTCGACTTACAACAGTTCATTGAATGACCGTTCAAAGTTACAAAGGCAGTGAAAAAAAAGAGTAACTTTTTCACACAACCGTTGCAGCATCTCCATGGTCACACGATCAAAATTTGGACAGTTGGCAACTGGGTCCTATTTACGACGTTTGCAGGGTCCCAGGGATCATGGGGATCCCTTTTTGTGACCTGACAAGCAAAGTCCATAAGGAAGCCAAATTCCCTTAACCACCATGCTCCTAACTTAACCACTGCAGTGATTCACTTAACAACTGTGGCAAGGAAGGTTGTAATATGGAACAAAACTCACTTAACAAATGTCTGACTTAGCAACTTAAAATTTTGGGCTCAATTGTGGTGGTAAGGCCACTGCACCACAACTTTACAGCTGGGCTTTCCCTGCAGCTGGCCTTGTGCTACTCGTCTTTCCATGAATAAAGTCCTCACTTGATGGATTTAATCCACTCTTCTTTTTCTTCAGGCGTGGGAGCCGATATCCTGTACACCACGTGGTTGCCCTCAACCACCCGGCCATCCGCTTCAGTCTTGCACGCTTTGATCACCTGTCCTTTGTAGCTGGGGTTGTACAGCTCAAAGCAATTCTAGGGAACAAACCACAGGCCAGCATTGACATTTTAACCTCCGTTTGGCACAGAGTTCCTCTGCTGCAGAAGCCAGCATTCAACCAGAGCTTTCTTCGACCACTGTTGCTATATTTTACCTTCATAAATGTCATTCTCTTTTATATAAGTCAGGATCATTTCTTCAACCTAAGTGGTTTACAATTCAAATCCACGATTCCTAAGATGGCAATGTAGACTAAATAATGATCCGATCATCAAAAACAGATAAAAACTAGGAAGACACAGAAATCAGTGGAATGGTTACACATCATATGATGTGGTGATTGTAATGTTTTCAGATCTGAAGTTCTTAATTTTTCAGTTAATGGTAAAAAGCAGGGTTGTGAATAGCTCAAGAAAGTCAAGTTGATGCCTCAACCACATGATTGAAGCTCTGTTGGTCTATAAATGAATACATAAGAAATGATAAAGATGATTGATAGACAGACAGACAGAGATAGCTGATAGATAGTGATAGCAGATAGATAGATAGATAGATAGATAGATAGATAGATAGATAGATAGATAATAGATGGCTGATAGATTAGATAGATATAAATATAGATAGCTGATAGATAGATAGATAGATAGATAGATAGATAGATAGATAGATAGATAGCAGATATAGATAGCTGATAGATTAGATTCCTGTAACAATGACCGCCATCTTGATTTCTCTGAATACCATCCCTTCACATCTGTCCCCAACCCAATTGTGTATTAGCCATTTTCTATTCTATTTTAGCAGACTTTCACAATGCTAAGCAGTGGAGATGCACCTCTAGAACAAGAGTTTACCACTAAGTTGAAGGTTCAGAAAGCCGCGGGTGCATCTGTAAGACTGATTCAAAGGGAATCAAGAAGGATCCCTCTGGGAGAAAAGGATCTTTTGAAGAAGACGGGAGGAGGAGGGAGATCTTACTGGCTTTCTTGGATCCTCCACTTCCTTGATGCTGAGATTTTCCAATGGAATGATTCCTCTGGGTTCTTTGTCCTAGGAATTTGGTGGAAAAAAGAACATCCAGTCAACCAGTTGAAATAGCTTGGCTGTGGAAGAAGGAATGTTGTTATTGACACCTACGAACCATACTCACTGTTGTGTATTCAAAATAATAGAGGCAGTTATCAGTCAGTATAAACCATCTCCTTTTCCACGTTTTCACACGTCCGCCTGAAAAAAAAAAACAAGACAAGCCACTCAGACGTATCATGAATGGGACAAAATAACCTGGTTACCGTGTTATTTCATTAAATGATTAGCCGTGTCAAAATTAGACAATTGAATGGAAAATGGATGTAGAAGTAGGGTTAAAATGAACACGAGGTTACTGAGACGCTCCTTTTCCAGAAAGGGTAGCTGGATCGATTTGCTGAGCTAAGCCAGGGTTTATTTAACTATGAATTGACAATCAAGCCACAGTTAGCTGGGTTCAGGCACAATACTCATCCACAGTTTGCCTACACCCATCGTCAACTGAGCTGCCTCTGGCTTGGTTCACACATCATTCTAAGCAAAATTCAGGTGACCTGACCTTCTAGCTTAACACAATGGGAAAATCCAACCACTATTAGGAAATACAGACTGGCTCTTTAGATGAAATATGGAGCAACTATGAAATGGAACTTTGAAATTGAAATTTATTGAGACTTTGGATTAACTGTGGGGTCCCTGGTGCTCTCTGAGCTTGTTAGTTTTCTTGTAGAAGTTTCACTATCCAGCTAGGTGACATCATCAGTGCTAGAAGGAAGTGATCAGGGTTTGTGTGGAGGAAGAGGAAGAGGAAAAGGAGGATTGTGGGGTCCTTGGTGTTCGTTGAGCTTGGTTGTTTCCTTCTAGAAGTTTCATTACCCAACCAGGTAACCTCATCAATGCGCTAATTCTCAGCCCAACCTATCTTACCAAACTATTGTGGGGATAAAATGAAGGTAAGCATTTTATGGACCCCCATCTTCCATTCCTGCTGGAATTGGAAGGACTAAGGGAAGGATGTTTTAGGAGTAAGCCAAAGCACTTCCATAACATTCATACGAATGTCTAATTCCCTGCCACCAACAGACCATATTGCATTATCTTAGTAGCAGGAACAGCCTTTTCCTGGTGGCAGATGAGTGAGGGCACCAAGCAAGGAAGTCCAGAAGAGAAACCCTCAAGATGGTGGAGAATTAGTGACGGAACCTGTGCACTCCTAGGAGCCACCCAAAACTCAATTTAATTGCACCAACTGGAGCCAACTCCCACTCAAAATCACTGGCAAAGACAAAAACCTTGGAAGTAGATTCAAAAGCCAGTGGCTCTTGCCAACAAGAACGAAGGAATAACTAGGATGGAACAATTCTTTAACTTCATTTGGAATCCAAGCCTCCCTTGATCTTTGAGAGCCAAATTCTTCCTTCGGAGACTATGCCAAAATCCACTTTTTTCTTCCTCAAATGTTTCCTTCTGCAAAAGAGCTCCGCGTTTTTTTTCTACCTTATTCTCGGTGCGCTTTAAGAATTCCTTCCACATTTCTCTACGTTAACGTTTTTCCACTGAAGGATTATTTAATGTCCAAAAGATCAGAAATGCTGGCCAGTCATTTGGATAAGCAAATAAAGCATTCCAAAAAAAGAGAGAGAGAGAGACGTTTTATCCTCTCCTGGTCAGGAAAACGCACCCGAGCGACCAAATTGTTCTTTTTTTTCAGCAGAAACGTCAGAGAACGCCAAAGAACGCATTCCAAACTTGGACATATTTATTTCCTGAGCAGAAGAGGAAGTAATTAAAACCAGACCTTGGCTGTTTACAAGAAAAGGTTTAGTCTCAGACAGTTGAGCTGAGTTGGGGCCAACAGACACTGTAATTTGGAATTTTTAAAATTGTCTTGTCCAGAGGGATCTGGACAAGATCCCTGGGATCTGTTGCTTGCAAAGGTTTTGTCCAGCTCCAACGTCTGCTGTAGGGATTTCGTTGCCTCTTCCACCCCTTCAATTGGCGCGCAATTAATCATTAAGCAATGTCTCCAAATTCACCCAAAATAAACTCGGGCGTTACCTTTCTTTTTTTCCCCCAGTTGAAGGAGAAATAGAATTTATTAAAAATATTTATTTTGGGCTAGAGAGAAGAATAAAAACCACAGCAAATGCAGACGAAGGAAAGTTTGAAAAAGGTAGAAGTTTTCCATGCTTCCCGGGGTTACGGAGAGTCCTCGAATTACAACCGATCGTTTAGTGACCGTGAAAACAGCACCGTGAAAAAATATATATTTATGACCAGTCCTTGTATTTACGTCGGTCACAGCAGTTAAAAGAACACTGGAAAAAAAATGACTTATGACAGTCACAGCATCTCTAGCATCACATGATCAAAATTACAAAGGTCGCAACATCCGGGGATCGTGTGATCACCATTTATGAGCTTTTCAGTCAGCTTCTGACAAGAAAAGTCAATGGGAAAAACTGGTTCACTTAATGACCAGGTGATTGTGATTTGCTTAGCATCCCTGGCAAAAAAGGTCATAAAACCAGGTGTGCCTCTCTTAGCAATGGAAATCCTAATTGTCATAACCCGAGAACTACCTGTACATGAAAGCTGTGCAATGTAAAACTGCAAGCTTTACCCCGTCATAAAATATTAAGAGAATCAGGTGGACTTTAAAAGTTTTCTGCAGGGCTTGGAAGGAAAAACAAAAACTTTTTTGCCGGTATCTTCTCTCAAATCTATTCTCTGTCAATGCAACCAGCACCTTTTAGAAGACTGAATTTAAACATCTAAAGAGATTCTCCGTCATCCAGAGGTCATGGTTTTCTTAAAGGTGCTTTTTTCAAGAAGCAACTGGACTTTCTTTTTCATTGAAGACGTTTCGCTTCTCATCCAAGAAGCTTCTTCAGCTCTGTCTGGATGGTGAGGAAGGGAAGGATTGATATTCCTTGCAGGCAGCTGGTCATTTGCATCCTTTTACAGAGCCGCTGAGGCCACTTGGAGATTTGTCTTTGTCCTCAGGGACACCTGAGTAGTGCAAATGGGTGTGGAGAAACTACCCAGGTGAATTACCTGAGGACACAGATAAACTTCCAAGTGGCCTCAACGGGTCTCTGTAAGAATGCAAATGACCAGCTGTCTGCATGGAATATAAATCCTTCCATTCCCCAGCATCCAGTCAGAGCTGAAGAAGCTTCTTGGATGAGAAGCGAAATGTCTTCAAAGAAAAAAACCAGAAAGTCCAGTGGCCTCTTAAAAAAGCATCTTTGGGACCGAATTTAAACATTTGCTGGGGCTTATTTAGGAAAAAGGGCGGGAATGGCATTTTCTCAGTCCTGATCTTGGAGCGAAAACCTCCTTTTTGTGATCCGTGAGAAGGCAGATTTGCCAAAGGATAAAACAAACCTCAGATTTCTGGCTAAGGTTTCTGGCAATCCGGCCACGAGGAGGAGGAAAACCATCTGCAATTCATTACATCGTTTTCCATCCTCCTCCGTAGCATTAAAATAGGGCAGTAGACAGTTCCTGCCTCTGACACGGATGAGAGTTAAACTCTGAAAGAAGTCAACAGTAAGTTGGAAGTTAACTGGGAAAGAAAACCCACAACCTGGGCAGATCGACCCGCGAAACCTGAATTTGTAACCAAGCCCTTTTCAATAGAACAGCAGAGCTTGGATTGTTAATTTTATTTATTTATTTGATTTGCCAATTGCTTGCAAGATAATAGATATAGTTATTATTACCTTTATTGTCAGAGTACGTGTGTACAATGAGATTGGCTGAGCTTCCCTTCATGCACACACACACACACACACACACACACACACACACCTCGCAACACAACTCACAGTGAGGACAGAAGTCCCTGACCCAGTTCCAATCTTATTACACTATGTGACCTTATTGCACAATGCCCCAGCCCTGCAAGTCTATCCTACTATGTTGACATGAAGTTATTTTCCGTCCAGGAGTCTGACAGCCCACAGGTAGAAACTGTTCTTCCGCCTGTTGGTGCGGCTGGCTGTGCTTCTCTATCTCCCACCCGATGGTAGGAGAGTGAAGAAGTGCTGACTGGGGTGTGAGTTGTCCCTGAGGATTTTCCTCACTCTTCTAAGGCAGCGAGCCCTAGCGAGGTCATCTAGTGGTATCAGGGAACAGCCCACAATGTTTTCTGCTGTACTCCCCACCCTCTGTAGTGTCTTTCTATCCGCGGCTGTCAGGCCAGCATACCACACCGTCACGCAATATGTGAAGACGCTTTCTATTGTGGACCGGTAAAAGGAGGTCATCGGTCGTTGTTGCACTTTATTCTTTCACAAGACGCTGAGGAAATGGAGTCTCTGTTGGGCCTTTCTGACCACCTGGGTTGTGTTGATTTTCCAGGTAAGATCTTCGCTGAGGTGGACTCCCAGGAATTTAGGTATAGGTATAAACATGAGTAAGAATACAGGTACGACTAAATAGGGACAATAGGACAGAGGTGGTAGGCATGATTGTTTGCTTGTGCACGCCCCTCACAGACCTCTTAGGATTATTCATTAATAATTGTCTACTCTTTCGTCAGAGTCTGGATGACTTTGGAGAAGTTCTACTTTGCAATAGTGGCAAATATCTGTAGCTGGGGTGTAATAGGATGAGGGTGAAAGTTCGTTCTCCGAGCTTGTGGGTTGGTTTCCAAAGGATTCGTTACCAGGTGGAGTTTACACTATGTCATGCCCTTGGTGGAGACTGACTCTGAGGAAGAGGAGGAACAGCCAACAGGGAGTGGAAGGGTGACTCCGGATGTTGTGGAGGAGGCTGGAGAAGGGCAGAGGCTGGTTGAGCAGTCAGAGGAGGACCCAGGGTCATCCCCTCTCCATCCTAGGGCACGCAGGGAGGAGAAGATAAGGGGGAGACGTGGTCTCCTCGGGAGGAGAGGGCCTTGATCCTCTTCATGGGCTGCAGCTGTGACAACTGAATAAGAGTTTGGACCTGCGTACTGGCGAACGCTGGAAACAAATCATGTAAATATCTCTAGTTTATAGTTCCTCTCTTGAGTTTGGCGTCCTTCCCAGTGTATGTTATCTGTGGACGTCCTCCAGCCCTTATTTTGCCTGGTTTGTGTTGTTTTTTTCCTTCTTCAGGTAACTGTGTGGGAGTTTTTTTCGTCTTCTGTCAAAGATATTCGGAGCTTGGAAGCAGACTGAAGGAATAAAAGGGGCTTCGCCTGTTTTCTGTGGCTGCGTTTGGTTTGTATCCCACCCTGGGTCATCACACACTAGCCTGGTAATGAAATGTTCAGAAACCAACCCACGAGCTCAGAGAACAAACCTTCACCCTCAATCTCTAGTTTGGTTAGAAGCAGGGGTGGGATTCAAATTTTTAACAATTTGTGGGCGTGGCTTAGGTGGTGGGCATGGCTTGATGGGTTGACATAGCTTGGTGGTCATGTTATTGGCTGGGTGTGGCCAACTCAATATAATTCATATCGAGGCACACATCTCCTCGCCCGGCCTCTTATGACTGTGGGGATGCTGCAACAGTCGTAAGTGTGAAAAATGGTCATAAGTCACTTTTTTTCAGTGCCATTGCAACTTTGAATGGTCACTCCACACAAGCAAAGTACCAGCAAAAGAGAGGGGAAAAACTCCAGAGATGTTCCTGAGACAGGAAGTCTAGTCCTGCCAAGAATATAATAAGGGTTAACGGAGTGGCAGTTTCTGTAAGCAACACCAGAATGTTTCCTTCCTGCCTTCCTTACAGGATTAGCCCAGTAATTTCTTTTAACAACCGGTTCTCCGAACTGCTTAGAATGTTAACAACTGGTTCTAGCGAATAGGTGCGAACTGGTAGAATCCCACCCCTGGTTAAAAGTGTCCATTTTGGGGCTGTGCAAACAACCAAGATTCCAGGTAGACCTGGAGTTGTAGAGCCCTCAGGTTCCTTTCTGAAAATCCAAGATTAAAACATACACAAAAAAATGTCTGAATTTTTGAAAAATTGTGATGGCCAATTTCAAGGTTTTTGCTGAAGGTAAGATGAGTAAGTAAGCACTCACCATTTTTGATACTTCAGCTTTATGTTTCCTGTGGGAAAAAGTCACTGTGCCTTGAGTTATAGAGCAGACCTGAATTTTTAATTAAAATATATATTTAAAATGTGGGGAGGTCCCCCACTATAACTTCTGCCTAATAAGATAATCTTCTGGTTTCCTGCAAAAACGATTCCAGAATTCCTCTACAGATGGGAGAATTGTGTGTACATGAATTACCCTTTATTGTAATTATATAAACTTTTCCTTGCCCGAATTCTTCCCGTTGGTAATCTACCAACCTTGAAAAGACCAGTAACAAATCCATAACTCTCCCATAACTGTTTTATTCTGACAACTGATAAGTACAACCAAGACAGTATTTTTAAGAGCTGTTCCTCAGGGATCAAACATAGAAAAGAAAGATACCAATAACTAGGGTACAAACAGACATATACTACACCAATACCACACTTTAGCAAACTAACATGAGAGTGTCCGTTATTAACAAATGTCCATTAAATAAGAATCTCCTGTGTCAATACGCATTGTTGACATCCATTTCTGACCCTGGAGTAAGGACACGTTTATGCCAATGGCATTAATTGGAGCTGGAATTTAGTCTGTTCCATACAAAAAAAAAAATCTGTTGCAGCAAAATCCAAGGAATTGAGATTTTATAAATAAAGGGGAATTAGGACGCTACCTTGGTGCTCTAATTCCAGAAAGATCAAACTCCACACACTATCAAACTGCCGTAAATCAAGTTGGTCAGTTGGAAGGGTGTTAAGATGTTACCAAGGACTCAGTCATTTGCTAATGGTTCCTGCGGGCTTTGCCGGGCCATTTAGTGACAAGCAGAGAAATGTCAGGAAACGGATGCTGAGGAAGGATTAAAGGAAAGCAGAAGCAAGCAAGAGAAGATGAAAAGAGAGATACCTACCTCCTAACGCAGAATAAGAAGAGACAGCCAGTCACAGAACAGAAAGGTGATAGATCTCAGCCCAAAAGGAAAACAAGAAGGGCACATGTAAACCACTCGTTTCCTCCCCAAAAAATCAGAACCCCAAATCAAACCAACAGAAAGGCACAAATAACAAGAATGGGGGGGAAAAAAACCAGAAGACATTCAGGTATAAAAGGAAAATGTTTGCGTGCTTCCTGGTAGCTAACCAGTGGTAAAAAGTACATTACAGGCTACATGTTGATGAGAGGTCATTTAAACCCAACTGAACTTTGGAGGAATGGGCTTGGATGCTAGGGAAAAAAAAGGGGGGGGCAGCATGCTTTCAGGGTGAGATTGGGAAGCTCAGAAATCCAATTCCACCTCTCGGCATAAAATCATCCAAAAGGAGGAATTTTTTTCTAGGGAAGTAATGATTTCAGCAGAAAGGGATAATGCCGCCATTCGGTGTGATTTCTAGCCCAGCAGTGGAAGGGCGGAAAGGAAAAAAAGACAAACCAACCATCGGCCGAGGAAAAAGCTGAGAGGGAAGAATTGACCCACTAACCTAATTTCAGGAGCCAGCCTTCTCGATCTGGATTAAAAAAGGTATGGGTTAAATCGTTCCCATCGTCTTCCGGAATCTTAAAGGGCTCGTTTTTAATGCTTTCGTATAAATTCTGGAAGAAACCAGAGGGCAGAGAAGGTTAATGCCACAAATACGGATTCTGGGTCAAGTGCAAAGGATCAGGGGCCGTACATTAATTTGCAGTTCAGAAGATTCATTGCTCAAGTCTCTACAAAAGAAGCTAGTCAACTAAAGTTCAAATCTGAATTGGTGCCAGATAAGGGTCGATGGAATTCGAGAGAGGTTGGACATGGACCGTTTGTGGGAACATAATAACTCTAGACTAATGACTCACTTAACTCCACTCCCCCAGCTCTGCCGACTGCATCCTGTCAATCAAGAATTATTTTTTCTTGGAGAACCAAGAAAATCTGGAGTTAGGATATGTGACAACTTCAACCAGTAGTTGTTAAGCACTTGGACATGAAACATAGCTTGGCATATAACCAAAATTTAGATGTTGTATAGCCTGGGGAAATATTGCCTTCACAGGGCAAACTCATTCTCTCTTTCCAGTAGAAAGCTTCCCACTCTGAAGAATTCAAGGGCATCTGTGTATATTTCTCAGAAACCTTTGAAGACTTGGTGGGATGAATAAATAATAGGACCAATAATAATACTAATAATGAACAAAATATAAAGACCTTCAAATAGAGGTAGAGCAACTGTGGTCAAAGAAAGCAAAGATAACATCAATAAGGAGGTACAATTGTTTTGGGTACAATCTCAAAACAATTGGACACCATTTGAACATCATTGGCATTGACAAATTCCCCATCGGTCAATTGCAAAAGGCAGCTTGACTCAGAACAGCTGACATCCTGCAATAATCTCTTTAACACCATCCAACGTCTACAGCTGCCTATTCCAGATCCTTGGAAATAGGTGGATTAAAAACGCCAAATCCTGTTTAAACATCTGGCTGGTTCTGCAGCAAGCCATAATACTAATAATTTGTTAACTGGAGCCCTGTTTGAACAATCATTGGCATTGACAAAATCCCCATCAGTCAATTGCAAAAGGCAGCTTGACTCAGAACAGCTGAACATCCTGCCACGATCCCTTTAACATCATCATACATTCACATCTGCCTATCCTTGGACCTTGAGAAGAACTCAATAGGGGGACAAAAATGCTCATCTAAACACCTGCCTGACTGCGCAACCAACCACAATAATAATGGAACTAATAGTAGCAGGAATCCCACCATAGGGTCATAGGATAAGAGGGTTGGCATCGATTCTCTGCGGAGATCTAACGTCCCATGTTGAGAACGCTGTTGTGTTGGTTTCTACAGTCATCATGCCAAGAGTTGATTCCTTGGCCATCCTTCATGAACACGCCATCAGGTGTTCATCCTGTTTGCAAAGCCACTCACCCGTAGCAATTCTTCCGGGAGGTCTCCTCCCTCGTTAATCCCTCTGTTCATAGATATAAACCTCTCTGCTGTTGGCTTGTCTCTCACGTTGTGGTTGTGTAGACTGGTGTTCAACATGATGATTGCAAAGGAGAGGACGTAGCAGGTATCTGGAGAACGGGAGATCAAAGCAAAACGTTTGTTCCTCACAGCTGCTTGTAAAAACCAGCCTCTGGTTGCTAAGCTAAACAGTTGTTAAGTGAGTTTTGCCCTCATTTTTACGAATTTTCTTGCCACCGTTATTAAGCGAATCACTGCAGCTTTTAAGTTAGTAACCTGGTCGTTAAGTGAATCGGGCTTCCCCATGGACTTGGCTTGTCAGAAGGTTGCAAAAGGGGATCACATGACCCCTGGACACTGCAATGGTCATAAGTATGAACCTGCCGCCAAACACCTGAATTTGGATCCCATAATCATGGGGAACCTACCAAGGCCGTAAGTGGGAAAAATGGCCGTAAGTCCCTTTCTCAGTGCCGTCGTAACTTTGAACAGTCACTAAATGAACTGTAGTAAGTCAAGCATTACCCGTAGGCGGCCAATTTCCCTGCCTTCCAACCCCAGTTGCTCTAAAGAGGTTTACAAACACCTTCCAAAATAAAACCCTTCAATAGTTGTTACCTGTGATGACCTGGGGCGTGACACAAAGGCAACACAGTCAGATAATCTCACATTTGCTCCCAGCAGCTGCCGCACTCAGCATGCATTTCTTTTAAACTCTCTTCCCAGCTGTGGCTAATGAAGGGGATCAGGGCCCTTTCCTCCCCCATAAGCCATGCAACTCATGTTGCTCCCTTTTCCGTTCCTCCCTGCGTGCCCTAAGATGAAGAGGGGGTGGGCCTGGGTCTTCCTCTGAATGCCCTCTGCCTTGCTCTACCTCTCCCCTGCTCTGCCCAGCCGGACTTTGCCCTTCCCCAGTTTCCTCCACAACCAACGGAGCCACACTCCCACTCCCTGTAGTTGTTCATCTTCCTCCTCAGATTCAGACTCCAACAGGGGCATGACATTACCAATGACAACAGCCGGCCAAGTTATTACAATGCCAAACATGTTGAAGCTTGCAGGATGTGGGAGTCCAAATCAATAAAGAGAAATACAGGTAGGAAAGGCCACACCCACTCACCTGTAGACTGGAAGACCCCAGGGTTGCAAAGGCAATAGCGTGAAGCAAACGCCTCCATCATGCGGTCTATTTTTTGAGCTTCACCCGGCAGCCTAAAACTCCACAGGAATTGCCTGCAAAGATAGAAAAGAGCCTTTTGTAAATAGCCTTTCGCCCCCCTTCTACTCGTATTTTTAGCCCTCTTTTTTCCAACAGCCTCTTAAAAAAAGATTTATTACCGTAATGCTTGGACGAGATTGAGATCCACAAACTCATGAAGTTCAACAAAAGCCTGAAGTACTTTAATATTAAAGTCATCCCTGTAAAAGGAAAGATGAAGAAGTTGGAATAGCAACTGTTTAATTCAATATTCACATGTCGGGCTTTTGAGGTTGGTGGGTTATTTTAATTTTGCTTTATTGTTTTAATTGGCCTGTTACCAAGCTACAGTCACTGGTCCAAACCAGGAAACCACCAACAATAATCTTTAAGAAATGGTCTTTATTATTAGCTAATTGGAAAAGTGCACAAGTTGGGGGAAGAGGAGGACTATATGGTCATTGATGCTCTTTGAACTTGGTGTGAGGTTTGGGAGGAGGAGGAGGAGGAGGAGAAGTAGAAAGGAGGAGGAGGAAGATGAGAAGACAGGAGGAGGAGGAGAGAGAAGGAGGAGGAAGTAGGGAAGAAGGAAAAAGGAGGAGGAGGAAGAGGAGGAGGATTGTATGGTCCTTGATGCTCTCTGAGCTTGGTTGTTTTCTTGCAGACATTTCATTACCCAGTTAGGTAACCTCATCAGTGCTAGAAAGGAGTGGGGTTTGTGGGGAGGAGGGGGAGGAAGACAGCAGGAGGAGAAGGAGAGAGAAGGAGAACAAAGAAGGGAGAAAGGAGGAGGAGGAGGAAGAGGAGGAGGACGATGATGACTTTGTGGTCTTTGGTGCTCTCTGAGCTTGGCTGTTTTCTTGCAGACATTTCATGACCCAACTAGGTGACATCATCAGGGCTAAAATGGAGTGAGGCTTGTGAGGAGGAGGAGGAGGAGGACTTTTTTGTGGTCCTTGGTGCTCTCTGAGCTTGGATTTTTCTTGCAGACATTTTATTACCGAACTAGGTAACATCATCAGTGCACTGATAAGATTACCACTGATAATGTTACCTGCTTTGTAATAAAACGTCTGCAAGAAAACCACCAAGCTCAAATAGCACCAAGAACAGCTCAAAGACATAGACATCCGATGACACAGACAACCATGAAACAGGAACAACTGAGACCCCATCTCCTTCCTTTCAGTGAGGTGAGAAGCCCACCATTAAGACAATGATTCATCATCATTTAATCATGGCCAACACGAAGCCCTGCAATTCACAGGGTGTGTCTGAAAGGCATAAGCAGATTAAAATGTGATGGCTCCGCTTCCCTCTAAAACCGAGTAGGTGGAATTTTATTTTATTTTATTTTTTTGCGGGCGGTTTCCTAAGGGAGCCCGACAAACCTTTCCAAGAATTTTAATTAATACGTCGAAAAAAACCATTCTTTAAACAAGCCGGTTGTTGTGTAAATACTAGGGAGCCTTTTGCCAAGAGGAAATGAACGTGGTGGATTCAAAGGCAGGTTGTTGTTTTTTTTTAAATTGGACACAATCCGATCAACAACAACAACCATAATGCAATTTAGCAAGGAGGCTCCGGGAGGATTCCTTTGGAGAGAGATTTCGAGACCTTCACTATGTCACTAAGATCTTGAGATCTTTTATTTATTTATTTTATTTGTTTGTCGAGCATGTATTAAATAACAGACATAAGTATAAACACGATTATTAATACATGAAATGTATTAAAAGGGAACAGTGGGAACAATCAACCCATGGAACAGAAGTTGCCCTCGGAAGTTGTGGGAGCGCCATCACTTGAGACTTTCAAGAAGAGATTGGACCGCCATTTGTCAGAAATGGTGTAGGGTCTCCCGCTTGGGCGGGGGCGGGTTGGACTAGATGACCTGCAAGGTCTTTTCCAACTCTGTTATCTGTTATTAGGACAGGGATGGTAGGCACGTTGGTGTGCTTATGCATGCCCTCTTCCAGACCTCTTAGGAATGGAGGTGAGGTCCACGGTAGACAGTTTAAAGTTAAAAGTTTTGGGGGGTTGAGGATGTAACCACAGAGTCAGGGAGTCTATTCCAGGCATTGACCACTCTGTTGCTGAAGTCTTATTTCCTGCAACCGAGTTTGGTGCAGTTTACCCTGAGTTTGTATCTATTGTGTGCTCGTGTATTGTTGTGGTTGAAGTTGTAGTAGTCATTGACAGGTAGGACATTGCAATGGATAATTTTATGTACTACGCTTAGGTCGCACTGAAGTCGGCGTAGTTATAGGTTGTCTAAGCCTAAAATTTTAAGTCTGGTGGCACAAGGTATTCTGCTACGAGTAGAGGAGTGGAGGACTCTTCTCGTGAAGTATTTCTGGACTTTCTCGACTGTATTTCATATCAGATATACAATGTGAGTTCCAGACAGATGAGCTGTATTCGAGAATTGGTCTAGCAAATGTTTTGTATGCTCTAGTTAGTAGTACAATATTACCGGAGAAAAAGCTACCATCCAGTCAGAGCTGAAGAAGCTTCTTGGATGAGAAGCGAAACATCTTCAAAAAGAAAAAAAAAACAAGGAAGTCCAGTTGCCTCCTGAAAAAAAAAGCACCTTTGGGACAAGCGTGACCTGGAGGCCTGAGAATCTCTACAGACTTGAAGGAAACTTGAGGTTCTAAGTCCCTGTTCATCGCGAGGAGATACCCAGCCAGGACTGGCCTCCACTTACCTTTCACCGAGATAATCGCCAATAACGGTTTTATTAAGCCCCTCCCCTTTATACAGGAATTGAGCGATGTCTTCTGGCGTGTTCTGCAGGAGATCGTTTTCAAGAAGAAACTGGATCCCCTAAAGCAGCAGGAGAAAAAAATAATAAAAATAAAAGGAAGTTGAGAATCCAGCCTTTTGTTGCTCTTTTTTTTTCTATAAAAAAATAGGCGGGGCTTCAGTCAGATGGCAGCCATCTTGACTTTTTTGACCATCCCCTGCAGATGCCGTTGACTGTTTGGACAAATTTTACCAGTTCAAATAATTGTGGGAAAGAACGGGGAAGTCAGGAAGCAGAGAAAATTAGTTTTGTGTTTCTTATTTTCTTGTATTTCCAAGTGATAAAAGATCTGAGGGAAGATAGTCTCAAAAACTCATCCAGCTATCAAACTCCCTAGGAAACCTCATGGTTGGGTCTACACATTGCTAAATACCTGTCATGCCCCTGTTGGAATCTGATTTGGAGGGGGAGGCCGAGCAGCTGACAGGGAGTGGGGAAGGGCAAAGGCCAGCTGGGCAGAGCAGGGGAGAGGTAGAACAAGGCAGAGGGAATTCAGAGGAAGACCCAGGCCCACCCCCTCTTCATGCAGGGAGGAACGGAGAAGGGAGCAACATGACTTGCGTGGCTTACAGGGGAGGAAAGGGCCCTGATTCCCTTCATTAGCTGCAGCTGGGAACACAGTGTTTGAAAAGGGAAGCTACGCACAGCAAGTTATTGGAAGCAAACCATGAATTATCTGGTATCATCGAGGTTTATGTGGGTTCCTGGCGTCTTCCCAACTGTGTGTGTTTGGCTGGCCTTTCAAGTCTGCAATTCCTTCTCCTGCCCTGTCAAGTTAATTACTGCAGCGTGGTTTGTTTGAATTTTTAGTTACAGTTTATATGTACTTTGTTTTCGGACTGAATTTTCTCCACTTAAAGGCTGTTCCTGAGAGAATTTTTCTCCAGCCGAAGGTAACCTGGACATTGGGGGAAAAGTTGGAGATATTTAAAGGGACTCTTCTTGCTTATTTAACTGTGTTGCCTTTGTGTCACATCCCGGGTCATCACAATACCGCACTAACTCATGGCTTGCTTTTAACCATGGTTTATTGAGCAAGGAAACATGTCTACCCAGGGCTACCTTATGGTTGGGTCTACACATTGCTAAATGCCATTCTAACTCATGGCTTGCTTTGAACCACAGTTTATTGAGCAAGGAAACTCATCTACCCTAACTCCTGGCCACTTCATAGTTGGGCTTACACACTGCTAAATCATACACTAACCTATGGCTTGTTTTAACCATGGTTTATTGAACAAGGAGACTTGTCCATCCAAAGCCTTTGGCCGCCTCATTGCTAAAAACCATGCTAATCTGTGGCTTATTTTCACAATGGTTAATTGAACCATTAACTGTGATCAATAATGTTAAAATAACATGCGGTTTGCTTGCTTTTGACTCAAAGCTTGTTGTGCAAACTCTGTTTTTCTTTTTCGTTTTTTTGAGCTTTTGGAAGATGGCCTTTTAACTACATTTTTGAAACCCGGGATTTAATCGGGAGCGATTCCAGGGCAAGATTTATTGCTCTTTTTTTCCTTCTTGAGACAGCTGGAACCACAAACGGCTGGCGTGGAAGTAACTGGGTTCATTTTCCCAAACAAACAAGCGGAAAGTTCAAAGCAGGTTTAGGATGGAGGAGAAATAAGGAAAAACAAATGGATTTTTGACCAAAGAAACACAGAGGGGCACCCTCAGCATTTGGTGCCAAAAGGAAAGCTTTCCTTCCTGTTCCCGAAGAATAATAATTTTATTTTCAAGGTAAGTAAGGCCAAAGATATTTTATCAAGCCTGGAAACTATTTTTAGTCTTGAAAAACTGTTGCTGGTTTTACACTCCCTTTGTCCCTGTGTGTGTGTGCGCGCGATTGTGTGTGTGTGCAGAAACCCTGGTAATCCTCCACTTCAAACCATTTGTTTAGCAATAGCTCCAAGTTACAGCAGCATGGGGGGAAAAATCACTTAAGACAGGTCCTCGCACTCAGGTCCATGGCAGCATCGTCGCGATTGGGACAGAGGTGGGATTCAGCCGGTTCTGACCAGTTCTGGAGAACCAGTAGCAGAAATGTTGAGTAGTTCGGAGAACCGGCAAATACCGCCTCTGACTGGCTCCACCCCCATCTGTTCTCCGCCTCCCGAGTCCCAGCTGATTGGCTGGGTCTTCTTTGGTTGCCCTGCACAGGAG